TTTATTAAATTTTTATGAACGTAAAATTATTACATAGAGCAGTCAAATTACATATATCTTCAGTGCATAGATTTCCATTTCATCTCTTTGTCAGGCTTAGTTAACTTTTTGTTTAAACGTTAAACTGTCGGAAAGTGTTCTAGTTTAAATTTTCATATCTTCACTATTACTTTTATTTGAGTATTTCTTTTTTTGTTATTGTTCTTTCATTGTTTTTGCCTCATAAGGATATAAATAAATAAATAAATAAGTAAGTAAAAGTGACGACAGACAGACAGACAGACAGACTGACAGACGGAAAGGGGAGACCTATTTTTCATACTGTAGAGAATTAGAGATATAGTTTTCCTCCAAGTATAATACTTAATTAATCACCATTAATACAAAGTTTTTGTAGTTAATCGCAGTTAAACACTGGGGAGCAACAACAAACAATCCTTATTTACATATAAGGCGCAGCGAGCAAAAACTAACAATCCCCGCATTAACTTTATCACGGTAAATCACCTTTCGCAAATTAAATTCATGCAGCTAACACCATGTGTCAAATTTCAAGCTCTGTTCAACACTCCATTTAACTTTCGCCATCAGCGCCTAGGTAATGATTCGCGAATTTAATTAACAACATCCGAACCGGACAGCATTGTTTCTCATAAAATTCATAATGAAAACGGATTTCGCCGCTCACAATGGCCTAATTCTCCTCCACCGAAATCGGGCTTGAAAAGACGCCTTTCTTCGGTTTCCACCGAGATCGGAGTATTGTAATCTGGCATTAATCAGGCCGTTGCCATCCATTATCGCAGCGGCAACCACAACTGACAACGGGGAATTGAAGTGCAATCTCTAATCAAATAGGTATTTATTAGATCATTAGTTCCTATCCATGTAGGACGAGCCTGTTGCAGGACGCACTGCAACGCGTGATCAACAATTTACTCTTTCAGCCTAATTGAAATTCTCTGCAATTGTCTGGTGAGCGCGATACATTCAATTTTAACATGCGACATAATGGCTCCGACATGGATGTGTGTTGCCGGACCGACGTGTTCAAATTTATAATTTGCATTAGCGATTAATTTAATTTAGAGCGGCAGCGGATATGAATTTTTCGGATATTAAATGCGGTGTTCCTGGTGGTATGCGTTTCTAATTTTCAACAATACCACCTACAGAATTCTTAATACTCGAATTATTAGTCAAGTTATTTATTAAAATTCTTTTAGAAGTAAAAGATCGATGCAAAAATCAGCTCCCTAATCAAATATTTAATGAGGTTTTGGAAATTAACCCTTCAAACAACCTTAAATGATATAATCATTAAATCTGATCTGGTAATCATCAGAAGAGACATATTTCAAGGAGATTCTCTCAGTCCATTAGGGTTTTGTTAGGCAATAAATCTTCCCTCGGACATCTTGAACATCTAGTTTCAACGTAATGATTAACAACAAAGCAGAAAATACACAAAGTCACTTTCTACGTATGGATGATATACACTGGAGTTTGTGCAACGGTGCCCTTGAACTTCCCGTCGGACTGATTAGCCTTCAGGTAGCTTAACTTTGCTTCAAATTCACGCATAGGAATGTCATCTAGATGGTAAAGTGCCTAATAATCCCCACCAAGAATTTGATGACGTCATCTAAAAAGATTATATAAAAATGATTTAAATGTTATGTAATAATATACTCCTACATTTGTGCCGTGGATTCGTACAGAAATTGAAAAGTTCCCACAACTGAATGTTGAAAAATTGAAAAATCGAAATCCGAAAAATTGAAAAAACCAAAAATCAAAAAGTCGAAAAATTTTTAAAATCGTGTACCGAAATATTTGGAAATCGAAACGAAAAAAATGAAAAACTGAAAAATCGGGAAACTGAAAAATCAAAAATTTCAAAATTCGAACGACTGAAAAGTATGGAAGGAATGAAAAATCAAAAAGTCGAGAAATAGAAAAATCAAAAATTTGAAAAATTGAGTAATCAAAATATCGAAAAATTGAAGAATCGCAGAATTGAAAAATCGAGAAATCAAAACATCAAAAAATCGAAAAATTGAAAATTTGAGAAGTCAAAAAAACAAAAATTCAAAACTCCAAAAATCGCAAAATTAAGAAATTGGAAAATTGAAAAATCGAAAAACTGAACAATTCTGGATGAAAAATTGGGAAATCGAAAAATTGAAAATAGAAAAGCAGAAAAGTCGAAAATTCGTAAAACCAGAAATCGAAAAATCGAAACACCGAAATATTCAAAAACTGAAACGTGGAGACATCGAAATAAAAAAAGCTAAAAATGTGGAAAAATGGAAAATTTTAAAATTTAAAAAACTGGAAAAGAGAAAACTCTGAAACCGAGAAGTCGAAAAATCGAAAGATCGGGGAATCAAAATTGAAAAAGTAAAAAAAAAACAGTGAAAAATGAATGAAAACTCGAAGTATCGAAAAATTGAAAAATCCCAAAACTGAAACATCGAAAAATTGAAAAATCGAGAAATCAAAATGTCGAAAAATCGCAGTCGAAGAATCGAAAAATTAAAAACCAAAAAAGTGAATATCGAAAAATTCAAAAATTGAAAAACTGAAAAAACGCAACATAGAAGAGTTGAGAAATCGCCAAATGGGAAATTCATATAATCATATAATCGAGAAATTGAGAAATCAAAAAACTGAACATTTGGAAACGTCAAAAATTGAAAAATCGAAAAATTTTAAAATCGAATAATTGAAGAGTTGAAAAATTGAAAAGATCCTAAAAGTGAAACTGAAACTGAAAATCGAGAAATTGAAAAATGAAGAAATCGAGAAATCAAAAATTGAAGAATCGAGAAATTGGAAATTCAGAAATTGAAAAACTGAAATATCAGAATCTGAAAAATCAAGAAATTGCACAATAAAAAACCGAAAAATCCCAAAACGCATATATCGAAAAGTTGAGATATTTAAAACTAAAAAGTGGACAATTTGAAAAATTGAAAATCATTAAATAAATTGAAACATCGAAATTTCAATAAATCGAGAAATAGAAAAATTGAAAAATCGAAAAATCGAAAGCTAAACAATTCGATTTTTCATTTTTCAATTTTTCTTTTAAAAATTGAAAAATCGAAGAATTGAAAATTCGAAAAACGAGAAATCTAAAATTTTAAAAACCAAATCATTGAAAAATTGAAACATCGAAAAATCGAGAAATCGAAACATCGAAGAATCCAAAATTAAAAATCGAGAAATCGAAATATCGAAAAACTAAATAATTAAAAAATCAAGAAATTAAAAAGTCGAAAAATCGAAGCTGAAAAATCGCATTTGACAAATCGAATAATTAAAAACAAAAAAAGTGAAAATGGAAAAATTGACAAGTCGAAAGATTGAAAAGTCGAGAAACCAAATCATATGTATAATCAAAATTGAAGTATCGAAAAATTGAAAAATCCCAAAACTGAAATATCGAAAAATTGAAAAATCCCAAAACTGAAATATTGAAAAATCGAAAAATCGAAAAATTCAAGAATTGAGAAACTGAAAAAACGCAACATGGAAAAGTCGAGAAACTGACAAATGGGAAAATCAAATAATCAACTAATCAAAAAATTGAGAAATCAAAAAATTGATAATTTAGAAACGTCAAAAACTGATAAATCGAAAATTTAAAAATCAAATAATTGAATAAGAGTCGAAAACTTGAAATAATCGTAAAATTGAAACATCTGAAAATTGAGAAATCGAAAAATGAAAAAATTGAGAAATTAAAGTTTCAAAAATCAAGAAATTAGAAAGTCCCAACACTGAAATATCGAAAAATTGAGTAATCTAAAAATTGAAAATCCAGCAATTGAAAGGTTGAAAAATCAAGAAATTGAACAATAAAAAACCGAAAAATCCCAAAGCTGTAATATCAAAAAATTGAATCAAAAGTTAAAAATTGTGAAATCGAAAACCCGGAAAATCGAAAATTCGACAAATTGAGGCATTTCTTACATTATATCAACAGTTTTTACTGTTTTTCCAAAAATCTCGATGTCTAATTAAACTTCATAGCGAACTCATAAACCACAATTTCATGACTATGTCACCTTTTAACATTTAAATTACATTTATTCGACGAAAGTTTAAGATGACATCATCAATTCCCGGGGGCGCATGAATGGATATACTTTGATTAATGATTTGTCATGCTTCCGATAATCTTAAACGTTTCAAAGGATTCAATTTTGCAATTTTAAAGCTAAATTCTAAAACGTTATACAATTTTGATTTTTTTCTCTAAAATGTGCATGTCTAGAGTAAAAGCTCAACGCGAATTCTTAAATCACACATGTAAGAGTATGTAATTCTCTGTGTAATAAACATTTAAGGAAAATTGTAAAATGACGTCATCACTTTCTGGGGGGGCATAAACGAAAAAGTTTTGATTGATGATTTACCATGCTTACGATAACCTTAAACTATTTGCAAGATTTCAGAGCATTCGGTTTTGCAATTTCAAACTTAAATTGCAAAATGTTGTTATGCAATTTTGATTTTTTTTTTCAAAAATTTTGATGTCTAGGCTAAAAACTCGACACAGATTCATAAACCACGTGTGCAGAAGACGTTATTTTAGTAAACTTAAATGATATTTACTAAAGAAACTAAAGAGATATTGCTAATACACATACAAAATTTGACAACAATCGGTCCAGCGGTTTCGGGAATTATCTGTCTAAAAATCCGGACAGACGGAAACAAAACACCTTTTTTTCGTGCTCTAGATCTTATGAAACGTCTAGAAAACATAAAAGTAGTCAGTCGTTCAATGAACTCGATTACAATACTTTCTTAGCTTACGGTCAGGAAATAAAAAATATATAGGATGTCAAAACACATTCATAGCATATCATTTAGCTTCTTACACTGTTACTGATATTATTTATCTATGATTAACAAATCAGCGCAAAGCTTTACAGTATCTCAACAATTAAACGAAAAAAAGTCCTCACAGTCTTTTTGTATTTCAGGATACGGCAAGAAAAGAACGGTGGTGCCTGGTGCCCGAAGGCCCAGATCAGTAGCGAAGTCCGGGAGTACCTCGAAGTCGACCTCCAGAAGGACCATTTGGTGACCTGGACCGAAACGCAAGGCCGCTTCGGCAACGGTCAAGGCCAAGAATACGCCGAAGCTTTCCTAGTCGAGTACTGGCGAAATTCGCTGAACAGATGGTTCACCTACAAGGACTCCCGGGGGGAAAAGGTAAGCGGACTCGCGTAATTACCACCACATTTTACGATTAACCAGCCAAACTTTTGATTGGTCGTTTATCTCATCGCGTGTCCGGACCAGATCCTCTGCATTATTAAAAACCAGTAGTGGCAAATCCCCCGGATATTTATCTTAATACACAAATACTTCGTTAGTTTCTGATTCGGAATGAAGATTTATTCGCAGATTTTAGTATCCGTCGCCGGCGAAACTTTAAAACATCCATTTTAATAAACAATGTGAGCAGCAGTAATAAAGCGGGACACTAATTGTTAACCGCTGCTTATGGCAAAGTTGGGAAACTAGGATATGGAAGGCGATTATACACTGGCGACGGAAGCATCCCTTGAGGAATACCCTAGCCCGTGGCCCGTCTTACACGACCGTAACTTGGCGCAGAAATGGACGTGATGCCCTAACCGAGGGACACCTATTTATGATTTGCATAGGTTGGAGGGATAATGGGCGCGATCAGCACTTGCGAATGCGAAAACTCGTTTGCTTTTTGCGTTAATTTGATGGTTGTCAGGTTTCAACGCGATAAATTACGACGAGAGTATTAAGAGAGATGTCGCACAAAGCCTGTAATCAATCGAGAATGCTAGTAAACTATGTTTGCTTTAACACCGGAGCTAGAATAGCAGCCGTCTCATAATTCTGATGCAGAATACCGAGCGATGTAATCCCTTTAATATTGAATAATAGGAGCAACTGTTGGCGGTTATACTCTGTTCTGTTGAAATTATTATTAATCAAACAAATTTTATCGATTCGGAAACTTTGCTACGACTTCGAAGCGAATTATGAATTAATGCTGATACTTTAAACCACGAACAACCTTCTGTGTTTTAGGACAGAGTTATACTAAGTAGTTGGTGATTTGGTGGATCCATCTAGTGTAATAAATTTTGCATAGTCATTTACAGGTATTTCTATTTTTGACAACCACCAATCAACATAAAATGAACTGTAGAGTCGTTACAACTAGTCGTTTCAATCGTGGTTTAAGAAAACGGAAGTTAATGTCTTAAAGTGAGTTTTTAAGTTTACGACTTGCCACCGGTTTACAAGGAATAGGATTATTCCGGAGAAGTTTTATTTTCCTGTTTTCTTGACGTTTCACAGCTCAGAGAATCAAAAAATGAAAAGTGGGTCCTTTATTGCTGTTTTATTTACAACATAGCGAACTCCGGAACTAACACACCGACTGCTTTGAAATGTTACATTTACCATAAAATAATCCGTGACCCGTCAAAATAGCCCTGACAAAAAAACCCGGCGAGAAAATAGCTCCCGACGAAACAGCCCCGTCAAAATAGCCCGGTATGAAATTAAAATAACTTATTAGGATTCATCGAAATGTTTAAAATTTGTTTATTTGAGATAGTAGAGATGTCAGGTCAGGTCAGATTAAGTTGGGTAGGGTCAGGTTAGGTCAGGTCAGATCAGTTTAGGTCAGATCAGAATTAAGTAGTAAAGCTTTTATGCATACATGCTCGCTTGTGGAGATTTTTATATCTTGGGCTATTTCGACGAAGCTATATATTTTGTAAAAGCTATTTTACCGAGAAGTTTGGAATATGCACTTTTACAAAGAGAATATCGATGTTCACTAGCTGAGTGACTCTACTTTAACAGAATTTAAAATTTCTTTTATGAAATTTTACACGTAATTCAAGATTATTATAAAAATCATCTTCAAATCCTAGATGAGTTTTACTTCAAGTCTGTATCTCCTCTAGCCGTCATGTTTACTTCAAAATTACAGATTTTAAGATTTATCTCAGCAATTACTATACTGGGTGTCTGGAAAATGGCGGACTAACTCTCCGCTACGCTCTTAACAATCAACTGGTGAGTCAAATCAGCATCAATCGAGTTAGCAGTTCAAAATGTTTGACGTATCAAAAAATTGACAAAATTTTCAAAACCCTACGTTTAAAGTGTTCGCAGTTAATTTTAGGTCCCTGGTGTTTTATTTTCAGATAAATTTAATGGAGCCTGGTGTTATGTAGCTGGATGAAAAAATCTTTTGAGCTTTTAATGTTTTACTTTTTACGAATCTGAAAAAGGCCTTGAGTGCCGCTGTGTTTGGTTACCCATGGTGTATATTTTTTTGTAAGTTTTTTAAAACAATTTGTGGTGATTTTGATGTTCTATTTTTGGAAAATTCTGATCTGACCTGCTTAAATTTGGAACGCAGTTTTTTTTTTGAAAAATTTAAAACAATCTTGGGGTTCTAGGTATTACTGTTTAGAAAGAATTTGAAAGTGCTCTGGAATCTGTAGTGTCTTTTCTTATATTAATGTCTTTACATTTTTTCTTAGAGGGTGTGTTATTTGCCAAAATCGGTCATATTTTAGCAGGTACTAGCCCCTCCCACCCACCCTCTCTTTTCTTTCAGGGTATTGGATATTTCTTCGACTTCTAGATCTTTCGACTTCTGGCTTTTTCGATTTTTTATTTTTTGGATTTTCAGTTTTTCAACTTTTCCATATTTTACTTTTTCTATTTTTAAAATCCTAGATTTTTCAATTTTCCGAATTTTTAAATTTTCGATTTTTCAATTTTTTGGGATCGGAATTTATTGAGATTCGGATGTTTCGATGTTTAGCTTGTTCAATCTCTCTATTTATCAATTTTTCCATTTTTAACTTTTCCATTTTGGCCTATTTCGTGTTTCCCGAGTTTTCGATTTTTCGACTTCTCGAGTTCTTGATCTTTTGATTTTTTTATTTCTCGATGTCGCAGTTTTTGTATTTTTCCATGTTTCGATTTTTGAATTATCCGATTTTTAAAATTTTCGAGTTTCGATTAGTTGAATTTTCAATTCTTCGATTTTTAAATTTTAGATTTTCTAATTTTTATTTTTTGATTTTTTGATGTTTGGATTTCTTCATTTTTCAATTATACGATGCTTTTTTTTTCTTTGTTTTAAATTTTCGATTTTTCGATTTTTCAGTTCTTCAATACTTTTTCATTTTTCCAATTTTGACGTTTCTGAATTTTCAGTTTTCCGATTTCTCGATTTTCCCATTTCTCAACTTCCCAAAGTTTCGATCTTTCAGTTAATCAGTTCTTCAATGTTCAGATTTTTCAGGTTTTTGATTTTTCAATTTTTCGATTTTAAAGTTTGCAATTTTTCGACTTAGCTTTTTTGATTTTTTTTATGTCCTAATTTTTGGATATTTCGTTCAATTTTGTGATTTTTCAGTTTTTCGATTCTTCAATTTTTCAATTTTTCGATGTTTGAGTTTTGGGATTTTCTAGTATTTCGACTTTTCGATTTTTCGAGTTCTGGATTTTTCGATTCCTCGTCATTTCACTTTTTGGATTTTCAATTTCCGTTTTTTAAACTTTGGTTTTTTCAATTTTCCGATTGTTTTATATTGCGATTTCTCAATTTTTCAACTTTTGGATATTTTAACTTTACAATTTTTAAAATGTCAGGGTTTTCGATTTCTCGAAATTTTCGATGTTTCGAGTTTTCATTTATCGGATAGTTCAGTTTCTTTATTTTTAAATTTTAGATTTTCCAATTTTAATTTTTTTGATTTTTTCATGTTTGGATTTCTCGATTTTACAATTTTTCCATACATATTTGAATTCTTCAACGTTTTCAGTTTTGGCTTTTTTAATTTTTCGATTTTCAAAATTTTTCTACTTTTCGATTTTTTAAGTTTTCGATTTCTCAATTTTTCATTTCAACACATCAATTTTGGGAATTTTTCAATTTCTGGATTATTTAATCTTTCAATACATTTTAATTTTCGGATTTTTTATATTGTAGATCTTCATTTTTTTTTATGTTTCGATTGCTCGATCTTCCGGTTTTTCAACTTCTAGACTTTCCGATGTCTCGATGTTTCAATTTTCTAATTTCTAGGTTTTTCGATTTTTTTAATTTTCAGCATTTCAGTTTATTAATCTTTCAAATCTGCCAAAATCGGTCATATTTTAGCAGATACTAGTCCTGCCCACCCGCTCTCTCCTTTTTTAGACGGTATGTTATTTGCCAAAATAGGTCTTATTTTAGTAGATACTAGCCCCGCCCACCCACCCTTTCATTTCTTAGAGGGAATGTCGTTTGCCAATATCAATTTTATCTTGGCAGGAACTAGTCCCGCCCACCGGCCCTCTCTTCTCTTAGGGGGTTTATTTATTAATGAAAAATAACAGCTTGTTTCATTAATAATAATAATGATTAGTGACTACTGGTTGTTCAGTCACCATCGTGCTTTGCTAAGAAATCAGAAAGTAAGCCGAAGGTATCGCACTGTTGCCAATTTTACTTTTATAAAATTACGTTTTTTTCGTAATCTACATCATAAATATTTATTTTACATAACGTACTGAGGAGTTAGTCCGCCATTTTCCAGACACCCGGTATAGATTTTTGGAAATTCTAATACTGGTTGCAAAACTTTAGCTAAATTTCATTGTATTCACCTGAAACACATCAAAACAGAAACTATTTAATACATTTTTCTTAAAAAATGTAACTTAAAATCAAGTTTTGTTCATTCTTAAGTAATATTTCTTTTTTTTTTAATCTTCAACGTAGTTATAAACTGATTTACTTTATTAATTATTCCAGAAAAGGATGTTCTAATTTCCTTTTAATTCTACCAACACAGTGGCGTTACTATTAGTGTCACGTTTAGAGAGCGGATTTTATGAAATTTGCATATCCGTTATTTTTTGCATATAAGTCTTGATATTTAATATGTGAACGAATCATGCTAATTAAAAATGAATACAGCTATAAAAAAATTGCATATTTGCATATATTTGCCTTCTGCTGCATATTTCACGTAACGGGTGCATATTTTGCATTTTTATCAATTTTTGTACTATTTTCAAAAAAAAATGATTGTCATTCTATCGACATTTATCTAGAAAGACGAAATTTCATGAATCATATTCCAAATATTGTCCTGAGGTTCAAATAACTAGGAAAGGTTTGGATTTTATGGTAGTTTGAAGAAACG